TAATCACAAAGTTTCATAATGTACTATATGCATACACTGTGATCACAAGGTAGCATAATGTACTACATGTATACAATGTAATCACAAAGTTTCATAATATACTATATGCATACACTGTGATCACAAGGCAGCATAATGTACTACATGTATACAATGTAATCACGTTTCATAATATACTATATGCATACACTGTGATCACAAGGTAGCATAATGTACTACATGTATACAATGTAATCACAAAGTTTCATAATGTACTATATGCATACACTGTGATCACAAGGTAGCATAAAAAGGTAGAATATAAGTGACTGTTTGAGTGAGTGAGTGAAAGCCAGTGTGTTACACATCATTATGAGATGATTAGTTTTTTTCATAAACTATAAGTTTCATAAACTATAAGTGACTGTGATTAGTTATGTTAATTAATTGTAAGTTTGGAAGTGAAAAATATTGAGTTTGAATTATTTTTTTCAACATAAATATACACAATAAAATATTATCCAATGTGTCCAGACATGGTTTGGCGCACACTTATCACATCACATATCAATCTAAAGCCATGTAGTTCATATCATTGTGCAGACTTTATCAATAAACATCCAATAAATAATATTTAAATTTCCCCAACACTGAACCTATTTTATTTTGGAACAAGAAATAATTCTCTACAAAAGCCATAACAAACTCTGATGAATATAATCAAACCATTCAAAGCATCAATTTCGCAAACCAGAATTTTAAAAATGACATCATGAAAAGCATGATTATTTCCAAAGAGAAACAGTGTTACTATACAATGAATGACAAGCTGAGTTCTTAAAAACACTGAACAGACTTGTTTTATGTAAACCAGGTGAATATGATACACTATTACATATGTAGGCGGGTCCTAATTCTTTGCTGAATCAAGATTTTACAGTGAATTGTGCAAAATCTACCACAATATCTGAGTCACTATTGCAACAAGCTATCCAATAGAAAATAGAAAATAATAAATTTTAAAACTAATAAACATAAAAAAATGCATAATGTTGCAGTGAAGCCTAAACTTATCTGCAGATATCTAACTGTCTCAGTCAATCACTGCCGTATCAGCTCAGCTCTGTCTTCAGCTGCAGGATCAGTTTACATTGGTTCCATCGGCGCCAATAATTGACAGATACATGGAAAACGTAAGTGCCGTGTCGCTGCTGGAATTGGTCTTCAAACTTCGGAGTAAAATGCATTCTATGTTTACATACATTACCCCGGGGAATGAAAGACAAAAGCCAAAGACTACAATAGTCCGGAAGAACGCGATAAGACGGTAAGATTCAAACTGCTGTGTCTGTTTCCACTGCATGTGACAATGGTTGGTGATCGATTGCTTCGTTACGCATAGAACGTCAGTTACCTGCAATAATGTTAGGTAAATGATGGCAGGTTGTGGCACAATACGACATGTCATACATGCATTATGAGAATAAATCAATTCCACTGATGGAATTTTCACTGAAGAGATAAAAGATTGGTTTTGGATATGTTCAGGTATTGAATAAATACTTAACCGTCACATCTGTAATGCCTCGGTGCTAGAGAATGAGTCTTATTAAGGCATTACTGTACAAGATATCGGTTCTTGTGAAAGACAATCACATCATATTTCACTCATCAAAGTATAAGGTAGACTGATTTATAGTCCCTGAAATCAGTTAAAAATATAGTCCTATGAGAATATGTCTGTCAAGGAATACAATTAGCCAGTACTGAGAAGGTGGGGAGAATGAATGGGGCTAACTGTTTTATTACATATATGCAATGGGTGTTTGTCAGATAGAGTATGGGCTTCTAAAGTTGAGAACTGGATGAGGACTGAATTGGTGAAATTGTGTTTGTAAATATATTGTCTGAGGCACCACTCAGAGAATATTGGTTGATAAAGCTGAGAACTGGATGAGGACGGAATTGGTGAAATTGTTTTTAAATATATGGTCTGAGGCACGAGTCAGAGAATATTGGTTGATAAAGCTGAGAACTGGATGAGGACAGAATTGGAGAAATTGTGTTTTTAAATATATTGTCTGAGGCACGAGTCAGGAATATTGGTTGATAAAGCTGAGAACTGGATGAGGACAGAATTGGAGAAATTGTGTTTTTAAATATATAGTCTGGGGCACCAGTCAGAGAATATTGGTTGATAAAGCTGAGAACTGGATGAGGACGGAATTGGAGAAATTGTGTTTTTAAATATATAGTCTGGGGCACCAGTCAGAGAATATTGGTTGATAAAGCTGAGAACTGGATGAGGACGGAATTGGAGAAATTGTGTTTTTAAATATATAGTCTGGGGCACCAGTCAGAATATTGGTTGATAAAGCTGAGAACTGGATGAGGACAGAATTGGAGAAATTTTGTTTTTAAATATATTGTCTGAGGCACCAGTCAGGGAATATTGGTTGATAAAGCTGAGAACTGGATGAGGACAGAATTGGAGAAATTGTGTTTTTAAATATATTGTCTGAGGCACCAGTCAGGGAATATTGGTTGATAAAGCTGAGAATTGGATGAGGACGGAATTGGAGAAATTGTGTTTTTAAATATATAGTCTGGGGCACCAGTCAGAATATTGGTTGATAAAGCTGAGAACTGGATGAGGACGGAATTGGAGAAATTGTGTTTTTAAATAAAATTGCCTGAGGCACCAGTCAGAGAATATTGGTTGATAAAGCTGAGAACTGGATGAGGACGGAATTGGAGAAATTGTGTTCTTAAATATATTGTCTGAGGCACCAGTCAGAGAATATTGGTTGATAAAGCTGAGAACTGGATGAGGACAGAATTGGTGAAATTGTTTTTAAATATATGGTCTGAGGCACCACTCAGAGAATATTGGTTGATAAAGCTGAGAACTGGATGAGGACGGAATTGGTGAAATTGTGTTTTTAAATATATAGTCTGGGGCACCAGTCAGAATATTGGTTGATAAAGCTGAGAACTGGATGAGGACGGAATTGGAGAAGTTGTGTTTTTAAATATATTGTCTGAGGCACCAGTCAGAGAATATTGGTTGATAAAGCTGAGAACTGGATGAGGACGGAGATGGATGATAAGCTGCTGAGGGTGGGGAGGGGGCTGTTTTATGATACGTATGGTCTGGCACGTATACAAGAGAGACTAAATGTGAGGCTACTTCAACTACGTCAACCTGAAATATCTGATCAATTGACTGAAGCAGTAGACTAACGCTTAGTCTCTGAATATATATAATTGTGATGGAAAGAAACAATTCCTTACAAATTGAAAAGGAGCCCCAGTGAGAACGTAGATTCAGAACCTGAAGAAATCCAGAATTGCTTCATTTAAAGCTTTAGCATCAGAGAAAGGGCTTGGCAAAAGGGAACATAATGCGGTTCAAGCACTGGGAGACTAATGGAGCACCTTTATCCTACATATTGCCGTTAACAGGAAGTGTCTGTATCCAGGTAGACTTGCACAAGGTAATATTTAATAGTTTAAATGAAAGTTTCTAACAAATATAAACAACAGACTTATATCTAGACTTGCCTCTTAAAGGATAGAATTACTATACATCCATGGGATAAGCATTCAGTACAGCCTTGGAGCAAGGCTAGCCTCCAAACTGTTGAAGGTTTTCTAAAGCTCATGTTGTTCTATCCACGATCACCATTGACATCAGTATCAGAAAAATACCATTGTCCTTCCACGCTAGGTCTGAAGAGAGATTTTATCGATTTAGTTTCTTAAAATAAACATCTTGAATATAAAACCTGTTGTGTTTCATCAGTCAGGCTTTAGATGTACATTAGCATTATGTTGGAAAGTATGAAAGACTGTATGAGACATGATATGTATTTAAAATCTTGACAATTCAGGTCTAAGTTGAAAATTATCTTAACCTGTTTGAAAATTGAAGATAGAATTTTGAAAATTGAAGTATGCACACATACAACCTTAATAGCGATTTCATTTGCATTTCATATTTCTGTCATGTGGTTGTAAGAGTGTTCATCTCGAACATAGTTACACTAACTGTAACGTAGTTACACTAACTGTAACGTAGTTACACTAACTGTATGCTGAAATTTAATATAAAGGGAATTCAGAAAACTTTCAAAGGCTAACATTTTAGTTGTGAAGGACACTGTTACGGAATAGCAAAGAATCAAGAATAAAATTTACATTTTGAAGATTTATATTTTGTTGTTGTTTTGTTTTGTTTTTGTATCTTGGTGGGGTCAAAGAGTTTAGGTTAAATTTATTCCCAACCATTCTATATGATTCTTAAACCTGAAACCAAATGATAAAAACAATGAAGTTTCATGTATTCTTGAAAATATTATTTTCATAAAAACTAATCAGTATACAAATGCAACATTCAGATACCAGTTCGCAGAATTCATGAAAACAATAGCGCCAAAGCAATACGGTTCGTTAGGTAACAGGGAGTCAGCTGTTACATGGGGCAATATCTTGCTCATCAAGTTAGGCTTGGCTGTGAAATGTGCTCTGGTTGACGTGAAAGGACCATTTCTGGTGTCCTCCGCCGTGATATTGCTGGAATATTGCTAAAAGCGGCGTAAAACTAAACTCAGTCAGTCAGTGACGTGAAAGGACAGAATAGTCTTAGTTAAATTATATTATTAATTTTATAATCAAGAAACAGTTCTGGTTCAAAATTGCACGACAGACAAATATGGCTTTACTGGACTGCACCAAGTGTACAAATATGCTTGACTGTCCACATTTCCATTGACAAACAAAAGTCTTCACACAAAATGCAGTTCTTTTGTGTGAAACATCGATTTTTATATCTTATTTATATTTTTCAATGCATGCATAATATTTCATCAATAATGCATAACAAATGATGGTATCCTGAAGATAAAGCTATGATATTAAAATACTGGGTTTATTACTAAGTTCATAATGGCAGTCATGCATAACATGGACACGTAATAGTCTGTCACTGTCAGTTTCAAACAAAAAACAACAGTGACAAAGGCGTATACCGTAGACGGGACTTTATTTTGCTATTGGATTGTAGGCATATAACTGCACAGTATAACTGTATGTTTGTTGGTCAACCCCCCTTAACAAGCTGCATGTAGGTGATTTGTAAATCATCGAATCTGGACCAGATAATCCAGTGATTGAGATAGTGATGGAATGCTGCTGGGGACAAATCTTTATCTGGACTTCATTCAAAGTAAGTATTCACTATCTACGTGGCATATACGGAATTGTTTCATGTTCAGTGTGAAATACAGGTACGTTTAGAGTGAGTGAGTGAGTTTAGATTTTACACCACACTCAGCAATATTCCAGCTATATTGCGGCAGTCTGTAAATAATCGAGTCTGGACAAGACAATCCAGTGATCAACAGCATAAGCATTGATTGACGCAACTGGAATACAATGACATGTGTCAACCAAGTCTGCGAGCCTGGCCACCCGATCCCGTTAGTCGCCTCTTACGACAAGCGTGGGTTGCTGAAGATCAATTCTACATACATTTAGAAGATATTTGGATTTTCTAGTTAAATAATGCAATTATTTCATCAAATGAGCTATTTTCATACTGCTCAAACTTTCAACTTTATTGCATCACAATATGAAGTAAAAATGTTATTTTACCCAAAAAAAGAGACAATTTTCTATTTATTACGTATTTCTTAGTGATCTTAGAAAATCTTACTCTAAAAAGGGCAGTGTGGAAATTTTCCAGATTGTTTGACTTGAGGTATCAATTTTTTAATGTGTGTTACAACAATATCATGTTTAGCTTTAAGGAATGGTTGCATTTAACAGCATTTAAGGGAAATGGTGTTTAGCTTTAAGGAATTATTGCAATAAATAGCATTTATACATGTTTAGCTTTAGGTTGATTGATGAGTCGATAAGCGAAATCATGCTTAGCTTTAATGAAAGGTTGCACATTTTAAAATATACATATAATACTGAATAAATTGTTTTTCAAGTGTTGTGTGGGAGCCCCAATATTACACCTGTTGAGGTAAATTGATCAATAATAGATTCACAGCATCAACCTTTCTCCTCTTTCATATATAGAAGAGTGACTTTAGTGACGTGTTGTCAGGTAACACAGGGGGTGGAAATAACCCATTGCCCGACGCCCGAGTCTAGTGTTTTTTTCTGTTGGGCAAGCAAATTTGTATATCACACTGTACCGGAGTCCAGTTCACTTTCCAATATTAATTATGCTGTTTATTTAAAAAATCAACAAGAAACGGCCGGTATAGTGGAAAAATTATCAGGGCAAGTGATTTTACATGTGCCACTGTACCGGAGTACACTAGCAATTTTAAAGTTATTTCCCCCCCTGTAACATCCCACTACCATCCAAACCTACGTCTTTCACCGAAATGACGACAATCTGATCTTCAACCTACATACATACAGGAACAAAACTGATCATGCAAACTCCTGGGATTGAAAACTGATCCTAATATCCCCTAAATACGCTGACTGACTGAGTTTGGGTTTACGCCGCTTTTAGCAATATTCCAGCGGGGGACACCAGAAATGGGCTTCACACATTGTACCCATGTGGGGATTCGAACCCGGGTCTTCGGCGTGACCAGCCAACACTTTAACCACTAGGCTACCCCACCGCCCCCTAAATACACTGAAGTAACAGCAAGATTCTACAAGTTCTGAAATGAAATCAGATACAAGATAGTCATACTAGGGAATCACTAGAGCCATTAAGCAGCTGAGTTGGTTGTAGAACGAGACCGTCTCAGATATCCTTGCACGAGTGTGCTTGAAGATTGACACAAATAGATCATGTTGACTCTCGGAGACAGTGGTCACATTTTTTGCTGGGATCATATCATACATTTTCTTTTGTGGATTCACTGGGTGTTTCTAATTCATGAGTATCACAGACCCACAACAGAAGAGAATCTTCAAGTTTCATATATTGTATCAATGACTGCTTCTGACTCGGACTTTGTATGTTGCAAGACAACAGCCTAACCTGATGGCTACTTCACTGTTCAAAATGACATATAGGTACCTCGACTGAATGGTCTTCCCACTCCAAGATGATGCTCAGTGTTTCAAGGGGTACCGGTAAGTAGTATTTCTCAAATCTGACTGGAATCAGTGTGAGGGAGTACACTGTTTTACCTTGTCCTTCAACCTTAGGGTCCAGAGGAGCAGGGGAGGTCGGGGTAGACTACTGGTTAAAGCGTTCGCTCGTCACGCCAAAGACCCAGGTTAGATTCCTCACATATTACAATGTGTGAAGCCCATTTCTGGTGTCCCCTGCCGTGATATTGTTGGAATATTGCTAATAGCAGCGTAAAACCTTACTCACTCACTCACTCTAAAGGACCACCAGTTACTAATTTCAAGGGTCTTTACAGGAAATATTAATATTTTCCCACAGAATTTCAAAATACTGACAAAATATTTCAATTGTGCAATTGTACATATCTTGTACAATGTATACTAACCAGCTGTGTCAATTCATTACCTGGGGAGGTATTTACATAAACAAGTTTTGCGTTTTTATCGATCCAGATTTCTTTGGACATTATCATATGTTTAAACCAACTTTGAATGCCACATGATGTAATGAAAATGTATAGCGTACTGGTCTGTAGAATTTTAGAATTACTTTGATTAAATGAAACATATTTTTTTGTCATGAATGGGCCAGTGAATATCATTGTGTGGTCCCTTGCTCAATACATTATAGTTTGGACTAATGATGGTTTCATAGTACCCGATCACCGAGATTCCATGCACCAGTTTAACACTGCTCCTCCACTCAGATGCAGTATACTGACTTTGATCCAGCCAGTCCTTGTACTATTCCCTTTACAATGAGAGGGGCGGTGGGGTAGCCTAGTGGGTAAAGCGTTCGCTCGTCACGCCGAAGACCCGGGTTCGATTCCGCACTTGGGTACAATGTGTGAAGCCCATTTCTGGTGTCCCCTGCCATGATGTTGCTGGAATATTGCTAAAAGCGGTTAAACCAAACTCACTCACTCACTCACAATGAGAGCCAGGCAGGGTAACAAAAAAGTACCATCTAACAACATGTCTTTACATTAACATCTCCTATTATTATTACCCACATGGGTACAATGTGTGAAGCCCATTTCTGGTGTCCCCTGCCGTGATATTGCTTGAATATAGCTAAAAATAATGTAAAACTAAACTCACTCAGTCACTCATAATTATGTAAGATAGCAAAATTTGACAAAATATTTATGCTCCTCTTTTAAATGTCTCCAAAAATGAATGTGTACATAGAAAGTGTAAACACCTGAATAATCACTATGTCACTTTGTGTGATTTATATGAATAAACCTGTTCGGTTCTGGTATAATGCAATTGGGGATCAAACTACCAACCATCAGCTCTACAGGCAGGTGCACTATCCATTCAACTATACAGGCATCTAATGGTACAATATGGACAGAACAATCTATCTACTGCTTCAATTGTGTGGAGGCTCATACACGTTACAATCTATTCTGATGAATCACACTTAGTTTTCATTGTGGTTTGGGGGCAAGATAATAAATCACTTAAATATTTCAGCCCAAAGAATAGATGTACTTCTTACAGGAAGTTTTGTACCACATGCATGTAGCGTGTTGAGTGTTGAGTGAGTGAGTGAGTGAGTTTGATTTTATACCGCTTTTAGCAATATTCCAGCAATATCACGGCGGGGGACACCAGAAATGGGCTTCACACATTTTGCCCATGTGGGGAATCGAACCCGGGTCTTCGGCGTGACGAGCGAACGCTTGAACCACTAGGCTACCCCACCGCCCCTGAGTGTTGAGTGTTGAGTCTTGATCTGCTTCAACCTTGACAAAAATCTTATCAACCCGACCATGACACTTCAGCAGTTGAATAATTATTATATTTTTATATGTTTGTAATTATTATTATTATCATCATCATAATTTGATGAGTTACACCATCTTTACTTTGTATGGTCAAGGAATCTTTCCTAACATTGTGTGAATGTGAAAATGTTCTGTGTGTTTGTCAATATCTCTTTAATAAGCTCTATTCATATCACAGGTTGTCCCTTAAAAGATATCCAGGGCCTAGATTTTCGAAGCTCTCTTAGCTCTAAGATAATCGTAAGTTAATGCTAATGTATGGCACTTACGACTATCTTAGCGCTAAGAGAGCTTCGAAAATCTAGGCCCAGTATCATAACTGATCAAACTTATTTGAAGATTCTGCATCTGTTTTGACAAATTCTTTCTGTCTGTCAAACTTGGGTAGAGCATTACCTTGTGTCTGATCACACTGAACATCATCAGTGTGAATTCCTGGGTCAATAAAAGAAGATGACCATTAACATATTTGGTATTTGTCTTTCACAGACCAAATTCACTGGCATCCCTCTGTGTTATGACATCATTGTGGTCTAGGATTGACTTCAAAAGACTTCATCTCAAAACCAATATTGTAGAATAGTGACATTTTTGCAATACCAATTTATATATAAATCCAAGTAAAGATAAATCCAATAATCTGTATTCCCATATTTTTGACATAATGCACTTATAGAACTATCTGTATGCTTATAAAGTGTTCTTGAAAGTCCTTAAAAGTACAAAAGCTTTACAAACGTCAGACACTGTTAGAAAGTTAATGCCATTCCATCATGGGAACTGCCGGGAGAGTTAAAAGCAGTGACAAGGGTGAAAGATAACTAAACATTCTTCAGCATGCAGACTGATTAAAAGTATCCTTAAAACCAACCACCATCAACAACATGCAAAAAACCTAAACCAAAAGCAGTAACCGTCTCTGTGTAAATATCATTATGTAATCTCCGCTATAGCCCACATCTATTCATGGTTTAATCTATACCCAGGACGAGGCTGACCATGATCCTCAAACACTTGTTAGTCGTCAAAAGGAAATCCCCCAGCATATCTTGCAACAGCTGTACTGTCTGAAGCCAAAAGCCATCATAAAAGGTCAATGGCAAAGTCTCCTTCCAGCAAATAGTCCATCTCCTTTATCCAGGAGGGTGAAGCTATGGCCATCAAAAGTGGTTCATCATTGCATACAAGCATAAAACGACTAAAAAATGCTTCAATAAACATCAATACCTTTTTTCATAGTTTTATCATTAACGTTTATCATAAAACGTGGATGAAATACTACTTGGTGTAAGATAGATCTTTACTGTTTAGTGTAAAGGTGGGGAAGTGACAATGGACATTATTAGGCGTTGTACACTGTGCTGTCTTGACAACTTAGACATTGTGTTAGTGCTCTCTTTAATAAAAGTTCCATCCAAAAAGGAAAGCCTATTGAAGAATACACATTGCTGCAGTCCATTGTAATCTCACCAAAGTGTCTCTGATATAAACATACCAATATGACATCAAAACTTTGAGGCTTATCAGCAGGTTGAAAACTTTCATTCATGACTGTTGACGTGTTTGATGGCAGTAGAAACAAAAGAAAATTCTATTCAAAATCAAAATCATTCTTCAAACTTTTGCCATTTTTAAACAGTCCTAACAAGTCCTAACCAGTGTCTTAAGTGGAAAAATGTACAGCTAAGCAGGTTGAGTGGCAGGGAGATAAGTAATGTTTGATTGTCATGTCACAATGGTCTGCCAAGCACTGTGATGCAATGTCATCTCAAACGATACATCACCACCTGCTGAAGCTAGTTCCAACAGGGACATGGGCGGTGGGGTAGCCTAGTGGTTAAAGCGTTGGCTCGTAATGCCAATCGGTACAATGTGTGAAGCCAATTTCTGGTGTTCCCCGACGTGATATTGATGGAATATTGCTAAAAGTGGTGTAAAACCATAATCACTCACTCACTCCAACAGGGACATAAAACATTTACTTACTGAACAGTAATTAATATTTCAAAACCCACTGACTTCTGTCTTGTTGACTAAAAATCTGAAATGTCCGACTGACAACCGACCACCCATAAAGACTCTCGTGAAATGGCACAGAAAACAGAGCTGTTACAATGAAGACTGTTGCGACCAAATGTTACACCCTTTCATTAGAGTGACAACTGAATAAATGGGTGGTAAAAAATATAATAAAAGTCCTCGTGCAAGACAATGGTTTTCTTGGCAAGTGAAACAGATGCAGTGTGTGCTGTGTAATACGGCCATGCTTGAGTCGCAGTGTAAACACTGTGGCACATTGTTGGCAGGAGCACAGGAGAGGGCAGCACTGACACGGAGGGTATCGCTTGTACAAGACAGTTGTATGTTAACATGTGATCAGGTAGGGAAGCTCACTCAACATGTCTACATTGTTTTCATTGTTTTGGGTGAGAATCGTATCCCCATTGGGCCACACCTTTTTTATTACTTGGCTTAAGGATGCGCCCACTGTAACTTTTGCTAAAGTGGAAAAAAAAATTAATCAATTTTTCCATTTTTTAAATACTGCCGAAAAATAACATCCAAATATCTAATTTAAAAATCTACTTTATTGAAATCAACTTCCTGTTACAAATTTAGAATCGTTGACAAAACAAAATTTTAAATATTGAAACAAATAAAATTGCCGAATTAGCGTTTTGAAGTGAAAATGCTGAAACAATATGTAAAGGACAGCTTTTTATGTAACTCTTTCTTTTGGCTGACATCTAGTGATAATAATATGAACTACAGTGAGTTTATGTAGAATACCAAAGGGCGTAACTGTAATAATTTCTACTCAAAGCATTTTATTTTTTTAATCACCTACCGACAGGAATACTGCTGTACAAAATCTGTAAACCAGGTAATTAGAAAAGTGTGGCCTTGCGGAGATGAATGCTCAAGTCAATTATTATGGCTTATAATAAGAAGAATATTTATAATGCGCCTTTCCAGTCTTCATATCCTGCTCTATCCTGCTCAAAGCGCACAATCTGATTATTATTACCCCAGATAACCCAAGCTGCCTGTGAGGTGCTAGAAGGTTAATAGTCACATGTCGTATCCTGCCGGGTACCCATTTTCTGCTGGGTGAACAGAGGCCATTATGATCAAACTCACTGACCTAAGGTGAGACCACATGCATGACATGTGGTTTACAGACTGCCGCCATATAGAGGGGGATATTCCTGAGTTATACAACAAACAAATAAACAAACAAATTTTGTGAAACAAGTAAACACATCCAGCACTAAAGGTTGTCATCTGTTGATGGTGAAATATACTAC